TTTTACTCGACCCCTGCCACCCCATCTGTGCTACTCGAGGCGCTATTTCCCACACTCTGCCTCTAGGAGACTAACTCGGGGTTAAAGCCGCTTAGTAATTCTCGTGGTCAAGCCATTGTTTCATGGACGAGGTCTATGGTAAAACAGGCACATAAACCATTATGCTTCTGCCACCCTATTTTTTATTTAACATTCATCATATATTTAGTTTTATAACCTCGATTAGATATCCATTCTAAAGACTTATTCGGGTTAATTTGTCCAATTCTTCTTCTTAGACTTCTGCATCTGTTAGTATTTTTCTACGTCTGAGCATGTTCCTCACAATTCCTTATTCATTCTTTAGTTATGGCTATATTGGGAATTAAGGATTACTATTGTGTAGGATTTCTTTCTGACTTATCGTCCTCGGATTTTAATTTGAGTTGATCACCTCTACATTTGTGAATGTTACTATCCTGTCCTTCACCTTCATTGAAAAGGGTAGGAAGCGTGAGAATCATGGTATTAAGAGCAGTCCCCTGAGTCTTTCACAATAGTTCCTGTATATTTGTATATTTTCGCTAAATCTACTTGAAGTGACTTACTCCTGTAATACATTGAAACAAACTATGATACGGAAAAGTGAAGAAAGGTAAAGCGATTATATGAAGAAGGTGTTGTGTGACGAGGATACGACTCAAGGAATTAGGAGAGGAGGGATAGGTCTGACCACAATGGTTAGACCAAAAATTGGTCAGGGGCATTGCTTTCACTTATCACGTTGACGAGTTGTAAGTGGGTCCTAAGGTTGATGCCTTTCATTGACGCTACCTACTAAGGAGCCAACAAAACGTCTAACCTACGCCAAGTCAATCGGTCCTATGCTGTAAAATATAAGGACTGAGTGTGGTCTCCCTGTCACCTCGACCAAGTTGCGAAAACGAGGTCAAACCAACTATATCCCACGAAGTGAGACCACTGAACAGTCTAAGTCTACTATATTTTTCTATTATTATCTACAACTAATTTTAACCTGTCATATTTTAAAGGAATATTCTTCGGCCATCTGTTTTTGCTGAGTAAATCTCACCTTTGAGTTAACTTTTCTATTCAGAATCATAAGTAATCTCTTACCTATTTCTAAATATAGGCTGTTCTATGCAGCCTCCAGTCCAAGCCCCTTGCTCCTCTGTTTATTGGCAAACAACACCGTTGTTCAGGATGCTTGGAATCTTATATTAGATGTATTCACCCTATTTCTTTTAAGGTGATTAAAGACTGGTAGTATAATTTTCCTACAATGATATGAGTTGAGTTTCCATTGAATTTCACATAGCCTTGCTTTCCCAAGAGTTGTTCTCATTCGGGCAGAAGTGGACTGCAGTTTCGACCTCGCATCGGTCTTATCAAAACCCCCAGCGGGAGTCGAACCGTGACAGTGCAGCATGTGAGCTTGACACGTTAACCACTCGGTCACATTGCCACGAGGTGTTTGGGTCACAGGGAAGATGTGAATTTCAAGAAAGGCCAGGCCTTTTCCCATATCACATTCTTTGGTGGGATGAAGCAGATGTATTTTTGTTATAAAAATCGACTACTTTACTTATTTTTCGTATGTAAGTAGAGTTTCGAGACTATCTGTAAATCAGTAATATGAGATGTATTCACCCTATTTCATTTAAGGTGATATTAACAAATCTCTTTTTTTAGCATCCTTCTTGAAGCTCCACTGATTTTATTTAAAATAATTCTTAAATGTGCTATCGGATCTTAGCATGTACATTATTTATACATAGCATTAAACGCAATGCTATTGACATTGCTCTGGATGACTTGAAGATGAAGCTGGATTACCCACAGAACTTCACTGTGCTACGACTCCTTACAGAGCGTTATCACCCTAAATCGGCAATAATCCTGAACTTGCTTCGCTACCCTCAGCACTTTCATCAAATTGTCACGATAAAGGTTTGATTCCTTGAAACTAGAACCTTCGCTTCGAATGAAAATCTTTATAGGGGTGATTCATAACCATATTGGAGACGGGAACGAACTGACCTTGCAGTTATGGCTATTGAGTGGG